GATACTTTATTTGTATGATCATCTTCTTCTGTTAAATCGACAATATGATGAGAAGTTGATAAAGATGAAGATGTTACGAGTGGTGGTGGTGGTGGTGGTGGTAGTGGTGGTGGAGGATGAGAATTGATTGTTGGAATTGATGTTATTTTTTTAATTATTGATGTTTTATTTGTTAATGTTATTGTTGCTGTTGTATTAGTTGTTGTTAAACAAGGTATTAATTGTTGTAATGATGGACCTGTTGTTCGAATGGGAGTAAGAAAACTATTAAAAGGACGTGGATTTGTTGCTGGTAAAACTTTTGAAGTTGGTACGGAATTTATTCCATTAAGCTATTGAACAAAAAATCAAAAGACAAAATTGAATATATCATTTACAAAAAAAAAACAAAGAGTTTTGTTGTTATATATACATAAAAATTTGATTGAGAATTTTGTTGTTGAATTGTTGTTAAATCAGTTTGTATCTGTGAATCATTTTGATTTATTTGAATGGTTTGTTGTTCTCGATCAATTTTATTTATGTTTATTTGTTTTTGATACAAATCCATTAATTCTTGATGTTGACGTTTTAATGTTTGTAAAAGACAATTATTATTTAATGTTTCTTTTTGTTGTTCTTCTTGACGTGTTTGTTGTAAAGCTTGTTCAAATAAAAGATATTCATTTGTAGGATTTATTATTATAGAATTCGATGTATTTTGATGACATTGACAAGTACATAATTGTGTATGTGTATTAGATGTTGATTCTAAAGAAATATTTTGTTATGATAGACGAGCTTGAATTTATAAATAGGTAGTTCGAAAATTTTGATACAAAACATTTTCAACAATATTCGAACGATTTATGAAAGTCATCGTTTAGGAGTTATAAACGAATCTTGAAATAACCTAAATATTACGTTTGGTTTGGAAATTCTCACATTAACAGATCCAAAGACAAACTATATGATTACATTATGTTTGAAATAGATTCTCTTTGAGTTGAGTCGATCTTAAAATCAGAAAAATGATTGTAAGTTGTTATTTTAGAAATTTTGATTTTTATATTAGTTTAATTCTTAATATTGAAAACTTTTTCATTGAATGTGCCTCAATTGACTGTACGCATTCGCACCATCAACATAAATAGAAGTTCTAAGTATGTCTATACTTTGAAAATTTCAATTTCATTAATATTGTAAATGTACGAAGTTGAACTAGCCTTTCAGAACTCATCTAATTCTCATTTTTTTTTTTATACAAACATGCGAAAAAATTTTCTACCATCGTGATCAATTCATCAAGTTCTACAAACTTGCATAAAGCTGATTGAAAAGCGAAACTCACACTTGGAGACCTTCCCTTATGAGAGTCAAAGAATTACGGAAACATTACTGTGTTTCTCTGTCTCTCTCTCTTACCAAACTTTCATTATTGATCAATGCCATATAGAAAGACTAAGGATGATTTGTGCACTGAAATGTATCTAAACTTTATTTTCTGACCTTTCAAAGATTCATTCATAAGTTCTAATCTATCGACAAAATGAAGTAACATTTGGTCTCAAAACTTGCAGACTACTCATTATTATAAAGAAAACTAATTCATGAATAAAAAAAGATATAAGACAAAAGATCAAACATTGTTATTTCTCCTAAAAGTAAAAGCGTATTGATCATACCTTCAGTTTCTATAATATCATCATCAATTTGTGATCGTGAAAATTCTGAAGATTGCTGATCACTTTCCATTGATATTTGTTCATTTAAACCTCGAGTTATATCTTCCATTTGTACATCATGTTCTGTTGAAATAGCTAAATCAAAAAGAGATTCTTCGAAGATAATTTTTTTCTGCTGCAACAAAAACGAAAAAACAAACTTAACTTACATTCATTATTAATTCTATGAATATATTCTTCATTATCATTTGCATCAAAATGATTCAGAAGCGAATCAATACAAATATGAACATCTGTTGAAATAATTTGTCTTTCATACGAATTTTCTCTCTAAAGAAAAAAAAAAAAGGAAAAATATATTCTTTTGAATTAAATTATGATTAACTTGTTTTGAAATATTATTAGGAATTTGTTTTTGAATTTGTTCAAGTATATCTTTAATAATTTCTTCATGTGATTGATCAACAATCATTTGTTCAATTTCATTATCAGGTAATATAAGAAATGATTGTTTTTGTTGTTGAAAATTTTTTTCGAATTTATAATCACATTGAATTCGATCAAAAATTGGCTTTTCTTCTTTTGAATTATTATTATCAATAATAGATGTTGAATTACATAATGGTAAAATTTTAGATGAAACTTTAACATTTCGTGAAACTGTACTTTTTCTTGCAATATGACGATAAATATCTGGAAGAATTGTAGTTGACATAATTGTTTCTAAAGAAAATCAAAATTTAAACAATGTTTTGTGAATTTGTAAAAATAATGTTGAAAACTATTAGATCAGACTATAATAACTAGGACATTTCTGTTTCTTTTCTATTTTGTAAACATGTATTTCATCGATATTTTCTTTCGTTCTACATATATTTGTTTTTCTGTTCTATCTTTCTCTTTCTCTTTCTCTTTCTCTTTTTTTCGTTATAGATAGTGTTTATAGATTTGACATACCCTTGGAGTATGGAATTTTCGCTTTGTCTCTCGTTAGTTTATTCTCTTCTATAATCTTTAGTATAACAAGATATTCTTATCTGCTGATTAAATCTGTTAATAAAAAAGTATTTGATTTTAAAATTGAAGATTGTAATTCCAAAAAAAAAAACATTTAAATCTATTGTGACTCATTATCAGAAAACAATCTCATAAGACATCCGTTTACATTCAGACTAATATTCTTCAATATTTATAAGTTTCGAAAGAAGAAGCAATTCATTTAATTCCATTTGTCGAATTTGTTATTGTTTTCAATTTTTCATTATTTAAAGAAATTAGCCTTTTATTGATCAATAAAAAAACTATTATGCACTGGAAGAGATAATCTTTTTCTTTTCTTAATACAAGAATAGTTTTAAATGTGTTTACTAACACCAAATGTTCGATACCACTTATTAGTTTAAGAATTTCATTAGTAGGACAACAACGACGTGTTTTATTATTTGATTAATAAATTCTTTCGATGGATGAAGTGGAAATATAACATTCGTCGCTTTAATTTAAAAAAAAAAGTAGAAGAAGAAAATAATTACTTGAAAAATTCTCCTCGATGATTACAATCAAGACATCATTTTTCTATCTCGATATCTGTAAGCTCAAGGGCGGCTGTGAGTATGAGTCTGAGTTTGTTCATTTTTTCTTCGCATACATCGATATTCACATCAACTTACTCACATCCACACCCCAAACTGACAAATTGTACGTTAATGATAACTTTTTCAGGCAAATGACTGCAATGAAATAAATAAAGCTAACATGATATCATATTTGATGTGTAAATAATCAATCGGCTATCTTTTCTTATGATATGACTCTCAAACTAGCCATGATTTTCTTATTCGTTTCTATATGACACAAATTTCAGTACTTTTTTTTAAAGCAGAATAATCTTTCTTCATGTTAGAATAACTCGTGAAGAAAATCAAATTAAAAACATAAATAATTTGTTTATCATATAAAATTCAGAACCAGCGTATTTTGTCGCTTGAACATTAACTCAACCCATAGATATTTCAAAAGCTAATTCAATGAGAAGTTTGTTTAGAAAAAGAGTAAAGAAATGAGTATAGGCAATTCTGTAATACTATTATTTTTGAATAGTTTCTTATAGCTTCAACAAAAACACAAAATAAGACAAAAATTGGAAAGATACAGTAATACATGGTGTGGGTGTGGGCGTGGGTGTGAAAAATGTTTAAGGTTGGGCGTTTTTTCGAATAGATCAGCTAATCCACCAGTATGATCATCAATGTTTCACATAAAGAGATGTTGAATAGTTGATGAAGTAACTGTTGATGGAACGAAGCAGCCATATCCATTGATGAATGTAACTACAATTAAAATGACAATGAGTGAGTTTCGGTAAACTCCAAATAGTATTTATCCAAGAGAGAACTTTTGCTTCATCATAACCAAGGTAACAATTCTTTAAAGACCAGATGAGTCAGATCGAAAAATGGAGGTAATGCGCACATAAGTTTCTCTATCATTTGTTCCACATGAACTTGATCTAATGTGAGCGATTGAAGATGAGTGAATTGATCTATAATGAAACCATAATCATACAATCAATCGATCTGTCTTGGGGTCAGTTGATCATCTGAAAGACAAAGTGAAGTTGCTTCACTGATCATTGCTGGAAGAATTTGTCGACAAATATTGTCAAAATCATGTTTGGATATCAGTCGAAAATCGACATCACGAATGCGAATATAATAAAGAAGAAGAGAATCAAAGCGAGAATTAAGACCATCAAATATTTGCACGAGTTGATCGATATTAAGAAAATCGAATAGGTCGAAGAACAACTCGTCAGCTAACGATTCCAGCTTCATGACACTATTATTCGCTAACGTATACTTGTATTACACTGAGTCTCATACATGTGAGTAAGCTATGTTATATGCAAGAAGTATCCAATCGTGAAAGGTAAAAAGATTCGTCCGTAGTTTTTTTTTTCTTTCTGTGTTCTTTAACTCGTTTTTTTTCCTTTGAAGCACGATGATCAGGGTAGCAGAGCAAGTAAAATACAGTCGCCGTCGACACCATCAAGTTTTTTTCTATATCGTATTGCTGCTTTTGTATACATTAGCCACGTGTGTTGACATAGGAGAACAAAAATAAGTCATAGCTCTTGATGAAGGTACTAATTAGTTCCCATTCCAAAAAAGAAGGCGGGTGGGTATTTTTTGAATAAATTTTGATAGGTACAAGATAGAAAGCTGCGGTTTTCACCGTTGAAAAGAGACATATCTG